ATTTTGTATTTTTATTATTTCATTACATCTTTGGACTTTTATAAAAAATGTCTAATTTCAGGGCTCTGAATCAATAGTAATGACCTATCTCTGTCCACTAACTATTGCATCAGCTGAAATTTTAGGTTGGTTATTTCAATGATACTGTGGATATGTTGTTGATATGTGTTTATTATGTATGTATGTATCCTGTAGATTTTTTAACACAATGCAAATACAAGGACAGTAGCCACATCAGGAATAAGGACAGAGATTTGGACTTAAAGACAAATAACAACAACAAAAAGCCCTAAATGAGTGAAAGAGATATGACTAGAATCATTAATTCCAATACCTGCATGCCTGCAAAAGAAACATAAGTTAATGAAACTGGTTGGATAAAAGACATATTGAGGTATGGTGGAGTCTATGTCCAACCAGTTGGTGAGGAATTATTTGGCCCTAAGCCAGCTGGGCTTATGTGAGAATACAAAACCAGAGATTTCTGATTTGCAAATGTTGACAGTCATTTAAAAAATTGAACATTAATTTAGAATAACTCTCATTAGCTTTTTATCTCAAAGTGATCTTTATACATTCTTGAGGTATTATTTACACAACATAAATTGTACAAATTTTAAATATACACTCTTGAATAAGCTTTGATATATGTTTATATATGTGAGCTTTATTCTAAATTTTTAAATGTTTCCAATATCCAAAAATGTTCCATTATTTCCCATTCCAGTCAATTCCCCAACCATAGAGTTAACTACTGTTCTGATTTCTGTCATTGTAGCTTAGATTATTATGTTCCAGAACTTCATAAAATTGCAATTACACATAAAAATGCAGGTCACCACACTTACAATGTAATTTTGATTTGGATTCTTTGGCTCAGTATAATGTTTTGGAGATTCACTATTGTTGTCACTTGTATCAGTAGTTGGTTACTTTAAATTTCTGAGTACTATTTTATTCAATATTTTAAAACATGATGTAGACCAAGTCTTATGATAGACTTGGGCTACAGAACTGTGGTTGGTTACTTCTGGGTTGGAGACAAGACACTGTGTGAAAGCAAAGAACCTCAAATACAGAAAGATCACTGTGCCAGTAGAATGTTAAAATAAAACAATATAAAAAGGTGGAAATATAAGAACTGAAAAGCAGAACAGAGGAATCCTTTAATAGGCCTTTCAGGGTTTGTGAGAAGTGTGGTGTGAGAGGGACATAGATATAATCAAAGAAGTAAAGAAAATAACTGATGATGTATCAGTGCATGATTTAGAATTTGACTAAGAAAAAAGTAACATGTTTATTGACATCTAAACTCATTTAAGTGTAAATGTTTGGAATGGTTTGTAAAATAAAATGATGACTCAGCAATTTTCTTATACTTAAATGACATACTTGTTGGGTGCCAATGTCATATTTCCTTTTCATTTTATTGTCTTATATTTTATTCCTTTCTTATTTCTACTACCCTTTATTTTTTTTTAATTTTTTGCAGTAATACATGGACAGAATTATTTTATTTTGTTTATTTTTATGCAGTGCTAAGAATTGAACCCAGTGCCTCATGTATGCTAGGCATGTGCTCTGCCACTGAGATACATGTCTAGCCCCCTACCCTCTGTTTTAGCAAACTTATTTATTGGTTCTTTTTAGTTATACATGACAGCAGGATCCATTTTTACATAATTATACAAGCATGGAATATATTTTTTTTTCTAGTTAGAACCCCATTCTTATGGATGTACATGATGGTAGGAATTATTTGTTGTTTTCATATATGTACATGGGAAAATGATGCCATGTTTATTCCACTGTCTTTCCTTAGCCTATCCCCTCTCCCTTCCCTCCATTCCCCATTGTCTAATCTACTGCACTTCTATTCTTCCCTTCCCATCCCCCTTATTGTGTGTTAGCTTCCACATATCAGAGAAAATATTTAACCTTTGGTTTTGGAAACTGGCTTACTTCACATAGCGTGATAGTCTCCAGATCCATCCATTTGCTGGAAAATGTAAATAAACAATTTAAAATAGGGTTGGTGTTTTAGTCTGCTTTTTCATCGCTGTGACCAAAAGATCTGACAAGAACAATTTTAGAGGAGAAAAAGTTTACTTGGGACTCATAGTTTCAGAAGTCTTAGTCCATATGTGGCTGACTCCTTTGCTCTGTGCAGAATATGATGATGGAAGGGTGCGGTGGAGGAAAGCAGCTAAGGACATGGCCACCAGGAAGCAGGGTGTGGAGATATTCCCTCACCATAGACAAAATATATACCTCAATGGCACATGCCCACTGACCCACCTCCTCCAGTCACACCCCACATCCCTACAGTTATCATTCAGTCAATCCCTATCAGGAAATTAATGCACTGATTAGCTTAAGACTCTCATTACCCAAACATTTCTCCTCTGAACTTTCTTGCATTGTCTCAAACATGAGCTTTTGGAGGATACCTAATATCTAAAGCATAACAGTTACAATACAAAAATAATTTCAAAGTTAGTACAGAGAATTTCAATATACTCCAGACCCAGTTTCCCCTATTATTAACTTAGTATGTTATACTAGCATGTAACATTTGTCACAATTAATAAATCAATATTAACACATTTTTATTGAATAATGTTCAGACTTTATTCATCAGGTTTTTTTCCTTTCTTTTTCTTTGCAAATGTCTTTTTTTTCCTGCTTCAGGATCCCATCCAGAACACCACATTGCATATATTAGTCATGTCTCCTTAAGGCTCCTCTAGGTTGTGACAGTTTCTTAGACTTCCCTTAGTTTTTTATGACCTTGATAATTTTGAGGATTAATGGCCAGGTTATTTGTAGAATGTCCCTCAATTGGGATTTATTTGATGTTATTCTTATGATTTGACTGGATTGATATGCTTTTGGAAGGAAGATCACAAAGGTTAAGTGCCATTTATCATCACTTTATATCATGAGTATGTATTGTCAATATGACTTCTCATTATTGATGTTGATCTTAATCACCTGGCTGAGGTGTTTTATCAGTTTTCTCCATTGGAGAATCCCTTTCCCCTCATTTCCACACTATATTTTTGGAAGTAAGCCACTGTATGCAGCCTACATTTAAGGAGTAGAGAGTTATGCCTCACATGAAATTAATACCTACAAAATTATTTGGAAAACCTCATAGTCTTTATCCAGGTCAAAATGTCAACTAAGGCAGTGGCTTATGACTGCTTTGATGGAAAAGAGAAGTTAATGGGGATTAGACATGTGAGAACATATTGCTCTTTGTTATTCACAACAAAGCACAATATATATACCAGATTTGAAGGTAGTATTTCTTTTAGGCCCAATCTGGGTATGGGCTCAGAAAAGTTATGAATAAAGATGGTGATGACATGAAATCTAAAATTGTCCTCTTTCACACTTGTGGGTACCTACCTTCATTCATATAATAATTTATTTACCAAATAGTCTTTTCAGCATAACTATGTATCAAGAATTAAGCTGTATGGTGATTGAATGCTTTCACCACTATCTCATGCTCTGGAAGGAAATCAAATCCAATTCCATATCAGACAGAAAACAACAAGGAATTGCATCTGTGGCTATTCAGTAATCAGAATGCAGATAAAATAGAAGTTACTTCTTTTTGAATCTCTGAACTTTCAAAATTACTACACTTTAGTCCAATACTCTTTGAGTTCAATTTGTAATGCTTCAACATGTAGAAAGCTTTAGTTCTATTAGAAGCCGTTTATTCAATGATCTTATGGATACTTTCACTTAGGAATAAACCTTTTAAAAAACAGACTGGTTTTCTTCTCTTTTTGTATTCACACTTAAACCATTTCTTTTCTGACTTTCATTATATGAATACCATTATATGAATAGTATTATATGAATACTATTATATGAATAGATAAGTTTGGACATTAAATTGGTTTGTTTCTTTAGATTGATATTTTTGTCTGCTCATGTTCAACTAGTTTAGTATATGTGAATATTTAGACAGGGGTTGTTATCCAAATATATTAATAAGAGCTTTTGAGACAGCAAATGAGAGAAACACAATTAAACTAGGTTGTTTTAAACAGCAGTGATGCATGGTTTATAAAATTGACAGGTTTGTGTATAAAATTAGCTTCTGACAAAAATAAGTTTCAGGAAATCTTTCTCTATAGATAGTTTAAAACCGTTCCAGATTTGCATGGTTCTGAAAGCAGATAATCTCCCAAACACAAGAGAGCCTCCATGTTCCAGACAATTTTAGTTACAGCTCCAGGGAGTGATCTCCTTGGCTAATCTTAGATCAAGTGCCATCCAGAAATCAATCACCATGTCCAAAGCCAAGAGATGCTTTATTTTGTTGGACAGAAAATGGAGGTGAGGAGTGAAGGGTAGACATTAGTCTCACTTATTCTAGAGGTACTGAAAGCAAATCCAAGCAGTTACTGGGCCAGTGAAACATATTTCTATCATACCATATCTTCATAGAGCACAAAGATTCCAAATGCCACCATGTTTACATGGGAATATGTTATCACCCCTGAGAATAATTTTCAAGGACTTTTGAGAATTTTAGACATTTTCATGTAATAGATATACCAATTAAAAACAACCTTTTTATATTCATCACAATTATCTTAAGAAAACCTATCAGTGGACATCCTCTTAATTTTAATAAAATTCTTGAAGGCAGTACACGGATTTCTTTTTTAAAATTCTGTATTTCTGACCTGCATCTAACTCACAGAACCATCCCCAGCCATTTCAGATTAAGCAGGGCTTTATTGTAGTTTTAATATCATTCAGGGATATCTCTTCTGATTTTTATAATAATCTAGATATTCTGCTGTGTGGATCACAAAGATTGTGTGACTGTTTTCAGGAATTTGTTTCTTTCCCATTTTCTTTTCCTCTGATCATCTCAGAATGGTTTAAATCCTTTCCTATTTAACAATGATTGGTTTTCTTTTTAAAAATTTTTTTAGTTGTATTTGAACACAATACCTTTATTTATTTTTATGTGGTGCTGAGGATTGAACCCAGGACCTCTCACGTGCTAGGCGAGCACTCTACCGCTGAGCCACAACCCAGCCCCGATGATTGGTTTTCATTTTTCTAACCTGTGAAAGTTAAGCATGCATTGTAAAATTATTTCTATATTGATGGTACTTTAAGCACAAGCCATAATTTTCCAACTTCTCCCAAATATAAGAAAGAAACATCTCTCCATTTTCACCACTATCTCATGCTCTGGAATGAAATCAAATCCAATTCCATATCAGACAAAAAACAACAAGGAATTGCACCTGTGACTATTCAGCAATCAGAATGCAGATAAAATAGAAGTTAACTTCTTTTTGAATCTCTGCACTTTCAAAATTACTACACTTTAGCCCAATACTCTTGAATTCAATTCGTGATTATTTGACTCTGTAATACTGAAACTTTAGATCAGGTCTGAAATTTCCATAATTTGGAGGATTCTGGAGATTCTGACCTACCAATAATGCTACTATCCAATTTTCCTGAAGATATTCAGGTAGCACCTTCACAGTTGGATTACACTATATGAAACAAATATATATTCATTTTTCCTGTTGTTTGCATTGTAGATAAGAACCATAAACTATGAGTATCCTATTTTAGCCTATAACTCAACAAAATATTTCACTATGAAGCAAAGTCTGAGTATTTATAATGAAGGGCTTCCATGTTGCTTAGAATATATTTGATAAAATGACTGAATCCAACTTTCTTAAACAACAATGGAACATATTTCCTCACATACCATGAAGATTATGATGAAGCAGGTTTCAAATAGAGAAACATCAGTGATTCCATGACTCAATAAAACATCCATTTTTATATTTTGCTCTTCTTACCATAAACTTCTTTTCGAGAGGATGGCAATGGCAACTGGAGGCTCTTACTCTTACTTAGAATAACTTCTCAAAACATGGGAAATAATTTATTCTAATTAGTCCAATGTAGGTCACACGACCTATCCGGACAAAAAAGAATAACCAAAGGAAAAACTGTGCTCTCATTCCACCTGTAAGCAGAAACTCCCTGTGGAGCTAAAGATGGAGTAGATACCTAAACAAAATTAAGGTCCTGTTAGGAAAGAGAAAGTGTGGTTTCAGCTCTTTTCTATTCTGTTTTATTTTCTATTCTAATATCTTCTGAGATTTTATTTACAACACATGGAGGCATTTAATAGCAGTTCATGCCATTTAATACGTTTAATATGTGAAAAGGAAAATACATTGTAACCTAAATACAAAATGGTTCATAAAATGCAGACACTCAATTTTTATATTGAAGATATTAATCATAACTTTCAGAAATAAAAATCTTTTCAAATTGTTTATTTTAATTGGATTTGTTTTCTGCCTCCAGAAATAAATAAAACCCCATTTAAATTTGTGCAACATGCTTTCAAACACCAGAGATGTGCTGAGTCACTGATAAATAATTCACTTAACCTAGAAACAATACATGAACCAGTTTCTAAAAGCTGCAGACATCTAAGTTTTCCTATACCAATCCTTCTTGAGATTAGCTAGAACAGATGAATTCTGGCATTTTAATTAGGACACAAAAAAGGGTATCCCCCTTTGACATTTTAGCAACTGGTCACGCTAAATTACTGAAGTCATACCTCGTCATAATATTTTGTGCCAAGAATCCTCCAATCTGCTGCACCTAAACACGGCAAATAGTTGTGGATAGTTGATATTCCCTTCAGACACAGACACATTTGCAAATTATCACATCTCCTTTAGGGGATGTCAAATTAAGGGAAAGAAAGCGTTATACTCCAAATAATTTAAAACAAAGTTTGAATTCACTTTACTCAAACCATTCATGTAGTTCAAGGATTTTTCTCTGATTTTTATACAACACTGCAGGTTATAAGACATCTTAGGGAACATTTATTAAACAATCTTCCTTGTCTATTTTTCAATATCTCTGAGCAAAAGAAATTAAATAATCTTTTCCCAAATAGATGATAACTTACATTTACAGGAATGAGAGTAGTTACATGGTTTATATACATTTTATTCAAAAGCTTATCTTGACTGTGAAATCAATAAATGTGCTTTGGTGACCTTGAATAACTTTTAAGAATAGAGCTACAGAGGACTGTTTTCAATGAGGTTTCAAAAATACACATAAAACTTTTGGAGTTCAAAGAAATTAAATTTTAAAAAAAGAATATTTGTCCAATTTGCTCCTATATTTGTAAACATAGATATGTTTTCTGAAGGAACTTGCAATTTTAAAAATATTTAATTTACATATAAAGAAATGAATGGATTGCATATATATACCACACACAAACACATACACACACACATTTACATATGGTGTGTGTGTGTATGTGTGTGTGTGTGTGTGTGTGTGTGTGTGTATTATGGTTTGGATATGAGTTATCCCTCAAAAACTCACGTGTGTGACAATGCAAGAAGGTTCAGGGGATAAGTGATTGGGTTGGGGTTGTGTCTTAACCCAATCAGTGAATTAATCCCCTGATAAGGATTAATTGAGTGGTAGTTGAAGTAGCAGGGTGTGGCTCGAGGATGTGGGAATTAGGGTGTGGCTTTGGATTTTATATTTGTATCTGGCAAGTGGAGGCTCTCTTTGCTTCATGATCATGGTGGGAGCTGCTTCCTCCCACCACACTCTCCCACCATGATGTTCAGCCTTACCTCAAGCCCCAAAGAATGGAGATGGCCTTCTATGGACTAAGACCACTGAAACCCTGAGCCCTCAAATAAAGTTTTCCTCATCTACAATTGTGATTTTTAGGCCTTTTAGTTACAGCAGCAAAAAAGCTGACTAAAATAATACCTATATAAATATATGTGTATATATAATACATAACATTCATATACATGTTCACATATACATTCTCATATGTTCATATATATCTCCACATATTCATATATATGTTCACATATAAATTCCCATATATATCATTCATGTGTACATGAATATTTTCTTATATGTTTGTATATTAATATATGTAAATATGTATATGTATATGATATTAATATAAATATGAATATATAAATGAGAATGTGAATATATATGAATATGAATATATATGAATATGATCATATATGGATATATAAAATACATATGAATATGAATATATGTGAATCATGTATATATGATATATATGTGTGTACAAATATATATATGTCATTTGTACATAAAAACATTCATTCCAGTTTTTTTACTTTGGGGTTTGAACTGGAAGGTTCTGGAATGGGAATTCATATATACATATGGGAATGTATATGTAAACATATATACGAATATATATATATATATATATATATATATATATATATATATATGGATATATGTGAATATATATCCACAAGTTTCCTGCACTCAGCAAAAGAATGGATCACCATGCCCTTTGCTAAATAAGAAGAGTAGATCTCCACATTCTCTGCCTTGTGAAGAGAGTAGGTATCTGTGTGGGGAATAGGTCCCCATGTTCTTCATGCTCTGGGGAGAGTAGATTCCCATGCCTTCCACCTGGTGAGGAGAGTAGAACAATGTATCCTCTACTTGATCAGGGGCCTTAATCTCTATATCCTCCATCTGATGAATTCCCATTTCAGATTATTCCAGTTCAACCCCTAAAGTTTAAATTTGGAGAAGACATGAATATAGATACAAATATATATGAAGACATATATGAATATGCAAGTGAATATATTAATATACATATGAATTGTTAATTAACATGAATATATATGTATATGAATAAGAATGTGAAGATGTTTTAGTCAGCTTTTTCACTGCTGTGACTTGAAGAATCTGACCAGAACAACTGAAAGAAGGGAAAGTTTATTGGAGGGTTCACAGTTTTGGAGGTCTCAGTCCATATAAGGCTGGCTCCATTCCTTAGGGCTCAAGGTGAGGCTGAACATCATGGTGGGACAGGGTGGTGAAGGGAAGCAACTCACATAATGGTGATCAGAAAGCACAAAGAGAGACTCCATTCTCCAGATACAAATATATATACCAAAGCTATGCCCTAATTCCCACCTCCTCCAGCCACATTTTACCACTTCAGTTACCACTCAGTTAATCCCTATCAGGGGATTAAATCACTGATTGGATTAAGACTCTTGTGATCTGATCATTTCTCCAATGAACCTTCTTGCCTTGTCTCACACATGAGCTTTTGAGGGACACCTCACATCCACATCATCAGAAGATGAATATATATATATATATATATATATATATATATATGAATATGTGCATATGATTAGATGTGTAAATATAAATGAATATGAATGTGTATATGAATATGTATATGAATAAATATATAGGTATGTATATCAATATGTATATACATATGAATATAAATATGGGTATACATATGAATATATATCAATATGGATACCTATAAATATGAATATGAATATAAATACACATAACTATATGTAAATGTGTATATGAATACATATTCCTTTTTTAATAACACATATTTCTTTTTAATAAAATTCCTGCTCAATTGCTTACCTCAGCAGCATTCTTGATGATCATTCTACAAATCTGTGGAACACAAACCCAATCCCATCTCCTGCCAGTAACATATTGGGGGCTCATCTGGAATTCCCAACCCCCACTGAGGTAAGTTATTTGTGCCTGACACTCTTTGCCTTCAAGTCTCGGGTGATAGGTTTCTTGGTTTCTGTAGGTCCCAATCATTTGCCCTGTGGGTCAGGTACATTGAGCTCCATGGAACCATTTCCTACTTTTCTGTCCCAGCTCAGAGCAAGAGCAAGTAGACAGTGGCCCCTAATCCTGACCTGTCTTTGGATGTGAGGATTTGGGTGAAGTTCATAGGCAACTGCAAGATTCAGACTACTATTTGGTGACTCTCAAAGGCCTCCCTTATGACACCATTTCCTGATAGTCCCATGGGGTATGCTGTGGCAGTTGTTTGATCATGTTTCTGAGTAAGCATTCTGAGGCCAGCACCTCCATATGAGCCACCCACACCTACTCCCTCACACTTGATCCTCCCATGAACTTCCTTCATGGCTTAATTTCTATC